TTATAATAAAACATTATTTTAATATATATATATATATATATATATATATATATATATATATAGATAGATAGATAGATAGATAGATAGTGAAATTGAAACGTTGTAATAAATATGGCGACAAAGATGAGGACAATAGTCCGAATAATGTAAATAGTTTTCTTTGTTATTGTTTTCATTCAATGCGGATCATTTTCCTGGTTTCTGGAAATAATTCCTGTACAGTATCTTCTGGGAAATTAGAGAAGAAAAATTGCATTTAAATTTTTTTAAAATATCCTTTTTTTAAAACATGTTTCATTTGTTTCTTTTTAATGAAACATGAACAAACACACACCTACACACACACTAATATGCATACAGCGTGCGATGTTTAAATTATCGTTATTTTATATTTTAATTTCGCGAAATGGGCGTTGTTTCTTTTTGCTTTTGTCTACTGCAGAGTATAGTAGGGTCAGTTGGGAACCGTATGTGAGAAAATTAGCATGATGACACAATTCACTCCGTCAGAAATTTGGAAATGGCATGATGTACTGCTTGGCATTCGCACCGGAAGCTCTTTTTTAGGAAGATAACACTTTTAAGGTTAGCAATCTTTTTATTTAAATTGCAGTGTTAAGAGGAAAGATATTTTATAGTAATAAATATAATCAAATATTTACTTATTTTCCACAAATTAGTTTCGCGTAGCCAAGCGCTTTATAATAAAACATTATTTTAATATATAAAATATTATTTTAATATATATATATATATATATATATATATATATATATATATATTAGACCATCGCAAAGAGTCAAGCGTCAGCTATCTTCCATATCCTCATAAATTCCACTTCTTATTTACGTTCATATATATATATATATATATATATATATATATATATATATATATAGAGAGAGAAAGAGAGAGAGAGAAGAGAGAGGGTTACGGTGGATAAACTGTTGTCTAAATTGCGTAACAGTGAAAATAACGCTAACATTCCATTTTTAATAATAAAATTACACAAAACTATCTTGAAATAGCAAACACTAACTTTATTCAATAAAATCGCCATTGGCTTAAACAACGTCCTCCAGTTGACTTCGTAATCACCTGCAACTCTTCTGGATGGTCTCCTTGTTTAAGTTGGTGAATGCTGCCATAATCCTTGCCTTCAGTTCATCTTTGGTACTAAAAAGTGTCTTTTAAGTCTCTTGCTTATCTACGCCCCACACATAATAATCAAGTGGGTTTCAGTCTGGAGAGTTAGTTGGACAGATGTAAGGGGTGACTTGGTCACAGAAATTATCTGACAGCTATGAGTCCTGTTGCCTGAGATAGCGTCTATCTGCAGCCGTCCTTTTGATTCAGGTCTTCACTACATCCTCAAAGCAATTGACGTAGGCTTCCGTGTTGAGGCTGAAGTCCTGTGGGAAGATGAATGGAGGCATAACGTCGACATCATTTCTTATCACGCCAAAAACCTTCGTAATCACCATTAGACTCATCCAATTTTTTCCAAATCCTCTACATGGTCTTCTGATTGACACCCGAACACACTGAAATGTTCGTATTGGAGCTTCTGGAGCGAATGCTAAGCAGTTAAGCATGCCGTTTCCAAATTTCAGAGGCAGAATGAATTGCATCATGGAGTTCTTTTTCTCCCAGACGATTCTGACTGACCCTATACTGTGCAGTCGATATATATATATATATATATATATATATATATATATATATATATATATATATATATATATTTAGACCATTGCAAAGAGTCAACCGTCACCTATCTTCCATATCCTCATAAATTCCACTTTCTATTTACGTTCATATATATATCTCATTTTTTTTAAATACTGGTGATCACTTAATTGTCGTAAGGTTTTCCATTTATGATTAGTAATATAGTTTTTCTTAATAGCAATGTCACCTAATGAGTACAAGTTAACACAGAATTTAAAAAGATTTAAAGCTGTATAAATTATTCAAATTAATTTTTTTAAAATGTAAACAATTTTTTCAAAAATCCATTATTCATAGACAATAGTGTCCATAATATATCTTTTTTTCATAAAAGGTATTAAGAGCTCTTCTAATTAAATAATAGGCTAATTTTATTGCATTTTATATATAACGATTCAGAGCAGATTTTCGGTAAATGGGGGTCCTGTTTTTCAATACAATATTGATGGTTTATAATCTCCAAAGACTTCTGTTAAGACTTAATATAAGCTTTAAGCCATACAAAAATTAATTTGTCGAAATCTCATAAAAATAATTTTAACAAGATTTTCTAAAAAAGAATTTTTTCTAAAATAATTTTTGATTTGTGAATAAGTCAATGTTTTTTTCCCCCGCACAAAACGGTAAAATTTCCTATACTTCTGTGGTCACCCGCTGAAGCAAGAAAAAAATTACCAAAATTTTTAACCTTCTAAAACGGATTAAAAAATATTTTAATGATAAAAAAATCCTTTGGTCTTTTCTTTTAATATTCACATAACGATTTTAAAGATAAAATTGTTTAAAGTTCTTTAATTGCATTACCTTTTCAGTCGTCTTTAATTATACATGTATAAAAGATGTATTGCTGCCGAAATACACAGCAATATATATATATATATATATATATATATATATATATATATATATATATATATATATATTGAATATATATATATATATATATATATATATATATATATATATATATATATATATCCAAGAGGATAAAATCTAGGTAGAGCTTTATATACAAAAACAGAGCGAGAATATAATATAAAAGGCTCAAACACAAATATTCCATGGTTATAATTTACAAATTTGTTTTATGTGCTTAATGTTTTTTAAAGCATATGAAACATATAAATATATTAAAATTTGTTTTCTGTGAATATTTTTTAAAACCTCTAAAATATATAACCTAAAATTTGTTTCACGTTCATAATGTTTTTAAAACATTTAAACCATATAATATATCAAATTTTGTTTCATGCTTCATAGTTTTAAAACATTTAAAACATATATATATATATATATATATATATATATATATATATATATATATAAAGTTTGTTTTATGTGCATAATTTTTTTTCAAAACATTTAAAACATATAATATGAATATATTAAAATATGTTTTTTGTGCATAATGTTTTTTTTCATTCAGGACAAATTTAATGCTATCTTCTTGAAATTAAATCCCCAGCTGCAAAAACTTAAGTACTAATTTGTATATCAGCTTCTTGTTTTATTTATTTAAAATATGCTAATTTCAGATCTTTACAACTAGGAATGTTATGCTTCATTCGCTGGTTCGAATCATCCCTGTTCCCTTTTGTATTCCATTAGAAAGTAAGAAGATCCACTTCTTCTTTCCAAGTACAGCTACTTTCAGTCAGTTATGTGCCATACGTGATACTCGCTTAGGCGATCATGTATCTTTCGATACTTGACTGAAGAGGCAGTTTTTTTTCTGCAGTAGGTTGCCATTTTTTTTTGCGGCAGACAAGTTGCCATCCAAGGCTATAGAACCCATTCTGTCCTGCTATTTTACCCATGGCTGAGGGAAAAGAGGATTCATACTTTTCCCAAGTTTATTAGCACGTAAGTGAATGTAATGTATTCGGCTGGAATTCGAACACGGCTCTCCGATTCCTCAATCTGAGCCGCTATCCACTACACAGTGCCTCTTTCCAGCTGCTTTGGGGAACTGATTTCCGATTATTACGACCTTAACGTATTTAAGATTAGCATCGACTGTAATCTACCCTACATAATCTTCATAATTTGCCTTGCTCCCTCCTCTTATGTCCAAACAACAACTTCAGTCAGTAACATTTTACTAGGCGTGGATTTTAGGCCATTTATTATGTACTTTTATTAAATAATAATAATAATGATAATAATAATCTCAAAAATGTGACAAATGGAAACATCAACAATCCTCGCTGTAGTCGGATTGGTTGGAAAAGATTCCAGTAGATTAATTTAAGGGATTCCTGGAAGACAATGCCTTAAAGAAATACAAAAAAATTGTTCTCACGAATACAGCCCACACGTTACGAAGGGCTTTGTCTATGTAAAATATATTGCTTTTTTATTTATTTTTTTTTCTAGTGGAAAATGTCATGATGCCATTTCGAACATTAGGTCCCTGGGCGGGACTCGGAAAAAAATGTGTATACACCAGAAATCAAACGAAATAAAATAATAATAATAATAATAATAATGATAATCATAATAATAATAATAATAACGTATTTCGCTGCTAATAAGTCGTCTGGGATAATTTGTTCTAGTTCCACGTGGCATGCCTCTTCCAGATGTCTCATTTATTTCCCTTTAAATCTCCAAAATTTTTGGTTCACCACTGCTGTGGCCTGGCATTGAACTCACAACTCTTTGGGTCTAGTCACTGGATCCAACCAACGTCTTTAACCACTGGGACATGGGTGGGTCCTTGTGGAACTAGAACAATCTACCCCGGCGGGCGAAATAAAGGGTTCGGTTCTAAATTCCAATCATCTGACGAAGGCCGGAGCGTACAACGACCGAAACGTTGTAAATATGGCAATGAAGATAAGGATAACAGTCCGAATAATTTAAATCATGTAAATAATCATAATCTCAAAGACATAGAAAAAATTCGCGTTATTTTTGTATTTTTTTCAAATTATTTGCCAGTAACGTTATGCTATCTTTTTAAATTAAAAATTCAACTCAGATACTGTAAGGTACCTGCTTTATTTAGCAACTTTAGGTAAATTTAAAAACATTAATCTGAAATGTTTACAACCTATTTTAAGCAGCTGCTTATATAGAGTGGGAGTAGGTACGAATTAAGAAATCGATTTTCCGACTTGACACCAATTTGTATTGCTTCAGGGTGTAAACGTCACAAATTTATTTATCTATTTCTCATCTACGTGTGAAATAGAAGTTTATGAGAAAAGAACAATGAGTTCATTTAGAAAACTTGAGGGGAAATAATTAAATTTAAATTTTATAAATCAGAAGCCTTTTGGAGCTTTTACCGAGATAGATAGATAGATAGATAGATAGATAGATAGATAGATAGATAGATAGATAGATAGATAGATAGATGCAAGAAGTCGAAAAACATGAAAGAAAGAAAGAAATATAGAAACGAACATAGATAGATAGATAGATAGATAGATAGATAGATAGATAGATATGAACAGGGTGAGATAGATAGATAGATATGAACAGAGATAGATAGATTGATAGAATATGAACAGACTGAGATATAGATAGATAGATAGATAGATAGATAGATAGATAGATGAATGAATATGAACAACATGAATGAATGAGATAGATGATATGAATATGAACAGAGAATAGATATATGAGATAGATAGATAGATTGATAGATATGAACAGACTGAGATAGATAGATATGAATAGATAGATAGATAGATATGATGAGATATGAATAAACAGACTGAGATAGATAGATATAGATAGATGAATGATAGATGATATGAACAGATATGATATATATATATATATATATATATATATATATATATATAGATAGATAGATAGATAGATAGATAGGGGCTGATTTTGCCAAGAATTGCTATATCCTTATATAAGTTTCTCTCTATGTGCATATGTTGATTTTGCTTAGTAATTTTATTTAAATATTTATTTTTATCAAATTTCCTATTGCTATCACTTGAATGGCAAAAATTCTAAATTGTTTTGATGTAAAACTCCTGACCGAATCAACGTTCCCGCATCAAGGAGAAAAACGTCATCTCCTTTTATTAGTGTATTTCATAGAGAGTTTCTTTATATATTTATAAATCTGGAAAAGACTAAGTATTTCTGTTATATCCATATTATTGTGTGCCACATAATGAAAAATAAGATGAACATCACAATGAACCAGTCAAAGATCGTCATAAAAACACATTTCTTGCAACTGATACTGACCGACATATAAAAACTAGTAAACTAGACAGGGTGGGGATGAAGAAAGCGACAAATTCTTTCTCAGTGTTTTGTCAGTGCTTTCAGATAAAAATCTGTCTGTTAAAGGATATCAAGAAAAGAGGGATATATAAAGATCTTCAAATTGAATTTTGAAGAACACTGTGACATCTGAAAAATACATGTTATACCGATAAGGAGTTGAGTCCTGGGTACGGTAAAGAAAGTACAAAAAAAAAAAAGAACATTAAGATCGTCTCTAGGAGACTCTATTTACAAGGGATTTGATAAAATAGATTCCTTGAATTGTTTGGAAGTGCTCATCTACTGAAAACAATATTGTCAATACAAAGAAAATATAATTACTCTTCATGTTAAATATCTTTTAATATTATAATTTGTGCAAATAGAATGCAAATATTCACTACGTTCATTTATCCTAGGCCTCGAGTATGGTCATATCTATCTATCTATCTATCTATCTATCTATCTATCTATCTATCTATCTATCTATCTATCTATCTCTGTATGCCCATAACATATCTACCTAGGTTCATTTTATTTAATTTCTTTGATGCTTTATGGCTTCTTGCTTTCTTCTGTCTGTCTATCTATCTATCTATCTATCTATCTATCTATCTATCTATCTAACTGGTAGACTAATATACTAAACATAATAATAATAATAATAATGATGATAATAATAATAATAATAATAATAATAATAATAATAATAATAATAATGACCTTGAAATCGAAATCTCAAAAATGTGGCTCATGGTAACATCAACAATCCCTGTTGTAGTTGGAGCCCTCGACTTGGTTAGAAAAGATTCCACTAGGCTAATTGAAGGGATTCCTGACAGCCCATGCCTTAAAGAAATACCCAAAATTGTTCTCACGAGTATAGACCACACCTTACGAAGGGCTTTATCTATGTAGAATACGTGTGTGTGTTTTTTTTATTTTTTAATTGGCCAGTGGAAAATGTCATGATGCCATTTCTCACTTTAGGTCTCTGGGCGAGACCCGGAAAGAAATGTGTTCACACCAGAAATCAAACGAAATAAAATAATAATAATAATAATAATAATAATAATAATAATAATAATAATAATATCGTATTTCGCTGCTAATACGTCGCTCCAAAGAAATAAACGCCACCAAAAAAAAAAAAAAAAAAGAAAACTTTGAAGGAAGAAATCAGACTTTTTTCCTCGGTCTTCATGGCCCTCCACACTATCCTCAATTTTACCCACTGAATATTTGAGCCTGAATACCTGATGAAACATGATAAATTCATCACAGAACGAGAAGATAGATCTAAAGATACAGGTTGGAGACATTTTATAGGGACAAAATGCGCCTTCTAAACAACAAAATATGTTAACAATAATAATACCAATGATAATATGTGATTTTGACATTCAAACTGACGGCACACTCCCGAGAAGAAGAGACGATCTGATAGAAACAAGGAAAATAACAAGAGTAAGGTAACCGAAAAATTAGAAATATAACAGGAACGCCCGTGAGAACCGTAAAAAAAACGTGACACGGTAAGGTCAGTCCTGCATTTTAATTTAGTACCAAATGCAGAAACGTTGACAAGATAAATATCTTCGTGGTAAATACTCTGCCCGTACTAGACAAGCTGATGGCGACAAACCCCGTACTCATCAGTTGTCACATAGTGCAGGGTTAAAAGCTAAAACCGAAAGTTTTATTCTTGCTGCAAAGGACCAATGCTTACTAACTAGAAATTACCAAAAAAAAACACACACGGAAAAACTGTGTCCATCCTAACAGCAGATTTTGTGACAAATATCCAGAAAGAATTGACCATTCTTGTATCAAGTTGCAAGGTGTTAGCACCCACTGAATATAAAACTCATTATGATAGAGTGGGCCAATATATGCATTGGAAAATATTCAGCTTTTAAGTGGAGATGACACTTCAAGAAAATGGTATGAATATCACACAGATCCGGTTAAGGAAATAGGACTTGTAAGAGTTTTATGGGTATTTACAATACAGACAACAATCAAAGCAAATCGCCCATACATCGTGATCAAAGATCACAAAAACATAATTTGCTTTTATAATCTGTCAATAAACATGGCAGTCTCTGAACGATGTAATGTATTTTTGAAGATCTTCAAAAAAAAATACTGTTAAAATGCAAAGATCTTGAAGTGGAAATTTAAAAAAAAATGTGGCACATGAGGACATCAATAATTCCAGTTGTAGTTGATGCCCTCGAAATGATTTGAAAAGATTCCGATAGATTTAGTGAAGGGATTCCGGGTAGCCCGTGCCTTAAAGAAATTCAAAAAATTGTACTAACAAGTAGAGATTACACCTTATAAAGGCTTTATCTTGTAAAATGTACGTGATCTTATTTTTATTATTGTTTTTTTTCTTCAAGAATGCATTGTGGGAAATGTCATAATGCCTTCGGTCTCTGACTGGGACCTGCAAAGAAATGAGTACAGACCATAAATCAAAAGAAATAAAATCAAAATAATAGTAATAATAATTTCAGAAACCTCAGAATTACACTGTCACAAATGTGAAAATATTTAATATTATTTATTATAATTTTACTATGTAAATTAATGTATATTAAAGAAACATAAAAAATAAAAATGATTTTAAAAGGACCTCCGAAATGACATTAACAGACACTCTTCTCATCATAAATAAATGTATTTCTCTTTAAAATTGGAAATATATTTTTAAACCTTGTCAATATTTAATGCGAGATATTTTTACAAATTTTCTAGACACTTTATGATTCCGTCAACGAAGAAGATTTTTTTTTGGTCGAATTACACACAACTTCAACTGTGGCATCTGATGTAAATGTTGATTTTTCAATGTGGTTTTTAATTCCCGAAACAATCATAAGGGAGTGGTGACAAAACCAGGACTGTCCGGTGATTAGGCAACGACTGCGAATTTAAGGTTTCTCGTTGTTTGCGCCGGTTTTAATTAGTTTTTCCTCGCCGCAATTCGGTTTGCATTATCGTGATGTAAATATATTCTCTTCTTTCTAACCATTTTCTTTTCAATCATTGTTGGACTGCTCGAAAGGTTTCGCAAAATCTTACTGAATTCGTTCTGGGTAAGACGATAAATTAGAGTTATTGGACCACGTTTTCTGGAATCTTCTTTTAGGTAACCTTCCAGGAAGTTAGCGGTCATGACTCTCCCCAAATTCCTAACCATTGTAGTTCTTGACGTTACCTGACTTTTTACTATCCCCACCTTCCTATTTTACATAGGCAGGAATGGGAAGAGATGAAATTGATTCACGCCCTATTGTTAGGGCATCTGTGCGATCGCCCTGTAGACTAGACCGGAATTCGAACTCGTCTCGCCGATTACAAGATCTAAGTTGATAGCAATTACACTACACGTACATCAATATCAGTAATCACAAAAAACATTATCTTTTTACATTAGTCATGCGAGACTTTTTGCATATTAAATATTTTATACACATTTCAAAATAACGTCTCCTGTGGTGAAAGATATTTAATTCTTAATTAATAATAAATCTTCTTGCCGAGATATTTCCTATCTTAATATAACCGTTATATTATTTAGACGATACACGTGTTTGAATAGACATCCATGCCTGTTTTTAAAAACTGGAAAATTAACATTTACCGGTCTAAATTTCGAAAATCTTATTAATTATTATTATGTCTCTTGACAAGAATCGAAACTTTTCGAATTTGAGAAACTACCTAGGCCGGTAGACATTAAATATTTATTTAATATACCCTTCATGTGATTGTGAAAATTATATATATCATATGTACCTAAATATAGTATTTTTTAAAGAATTGATGTATCTATTTTTAATCCGAGATTTTTTTATTTTTTTTACTTCAAACGTTATTATAGTAGGCACCTGTTATTTGAAATAGACGCCAAATTTCTATTTATTTACTAAACAAAATGTGAAGTTCTTCGTGGCAGAGCGATAAAGCATGTCAGATAAAACGGTAGTTTCTCCTACAAATACGTACAGGGTTCGATCTCTGATGTGGTGTTTTTTTTTTTTTTTATTTAGATTTCTCGAATGCGCAGGTCGATAGACGTATTGCACTTTGTTTAAAAAATGAATAAAAATGGGTCGTCTATTTCAAATAAAAAGTGTCTGAAATAAAAAATATTATATATTTTACATGACATTCATATTACTAAGAGAAACCTCGTGGATTAAATCGTTCGTTCTTGAAGTAACTGATAGTTTAATCCCTGGGCCGTGTAATGTAGGCTTAGATTCAGAAGAAAAAAAAGGGGAAGGACAATAACTGAGCAGATGAAATAGAAGCAAGATGAAGCATACAGAGGCTTGGAGAGAAGGACGTAAACCATTTACCCACGGCGACTTCGTTTAATTTGATATTCATGCAGTTTATACGGAGTGACAATTCTGTGAAGGCGGGCAGGAGAGTAGAGCGGCTGAAATGTTAAGATAATAACCACGAGATCGAAAAGTAAATAACGAAGATAACAACGAATATTCTTTGTTATTATCTGTCTATATCGCTGAGATGAGGTATTATGTACACTATTTACATTATTCGGATTACTGTCCTCATCTTTGTCGACATATTCATTACAACGTTTCGGCCGTTGTACGCTCCGGCCTTCATCAGT